CTGTGCTGTGTGATTTGCAAGCAGGAAGTGAACCATGGTTTCTTGACCTCGAAGATTCTATTCCTACTGCCAAAAGGCTGTAGCAGTCAAACTTCTCATGGGGCCTGGCTACGAGAAGACGATGGGAAATGGAGGTCATGTGATAGGCTGCTTGATCCTACTTAGAGCTGGTCAAAGACTTGCAGGGTTCCATGTGCCCACACAGAGCAGCAGAGATGCCTGAGAAATACCTTTGCTCCCCTAGGTAGGCTTATTTGTATTGCTGAAGTTCACATAGCTTGGGAGCATTCAGCCTTGCCTGTGCTTAGCATGCCAGTCAGGTGAGTGGGCAGAACAGTGAGCAGCACAACAGGGCTCTCTAATTTCAGTCGGGCTATGTCTAGACTGCAAGCCTCTTTCGAAAAAGAGCGTCTAGACTACAACCAGTACTTTCGAAAAAGCAAGCCACTTTTTCGAAAGAGAGCACCCAGGCAGTCTGGATGCTCTCTTTCGAAAAAGCACAGTTTGCATTATATAGCGCCTTTTTTCGAAAGAGCTCTTTTGAAAAAAGGCGTTATTCCTCGTGAAATGAGGAGTACCACCGTCGAAAGAAAAGCTGCGTTCTTTCGATTTAAGTAGTCTAGACGCAGGTGAAGTTTTTTCGAAAAAACCCTGCAGTCTAGACACAGCCTCAGGGTCTGTGTGGCACCCAGCACAATGGGGGCTCTGATCTCTGTTGCAGTCTGTGCAGAAGCCATCCCAGAGGGGCCCCTGTTGGCTGGGGTCTGTGCAATGCTCAGCCTTATGTGCTGAGTCTCCTGATACCTTGTTGATTTGCAGATCAGATTCCATTACTGCGTGAACATGAATGGCATTATGTCTGCAGAGACGTACTGGTGAGTAAGCAAGTGATTGGAATGCTTGTATGACAGGTGGTGGTGTTATTTACGAGATGATACTACCCAGGCTCTTCACACAGGACAGCACTCATAGGAACATAGGCATTTTCAGACAGGATCACACCTCAGGTCCATCTTGTCCAGTATCCTGGTTCTAAGTGCCCAGTGCTTCTGAGGAAGATCTATCTATATTGACTGCATGTGGGCAGGACACGCAAGTCAACATTTAGAGGAAGATGCAAGGACCCCACAGTAAGCCCATAAGGCACAATCTGCTCCCAAATAGCTGGGCTGTATCTATACTATGAGAACTATAATAGCTTAACTACCGTACCATAGTGTTTCTCAACCAGTGGTACGAGTACCCTTAAGGCAGTGGTCACCAACCAGTAGATCAGGATCAACCAGTAGATCTTAGAGCCTCTGACAGGTGATCCTGACTGGTTTGGCCAGGAAGCTATCAAGCACTGGCACACAGTTGCCTCTCCACCCACTGTCATGCTGCTCCTGCCCTCTGCCCCCCTGGGAGTCTTATGCTTCCTATGCAGGGTGTGGGAGGGAGAAGAGGGGGTGTTGATGTCAGGTTGTCCCTCCTCCCCCCACTTCTGTATCCTCTCTCCATGCAGAGAATGGAAGAGACAGAGCTTGGCAATGCAAATCTCTGTCACTCTCACACACCCTGGCTGTGTCTACACTGGGCCACTTATTCCGGAAAATCAGCTGCTTTTCCGGAATAAGCTGCGAGCTGTCTACACTGGCCCTTGAATTTCTGGAAAAGCAACGACCCTCTACTGTACAAAATCAGCCGCTATTCCGGAAAAACTATTCTGCTCCCGCTCGGGCATAAGTCCTTATTTCGGAACACTGTTCTGGAAAAGGGCAAGTGTAGACAGCCCAGTAGTCTTTTCCGGAAAAAAGCCCCGATCGCGAAAATGGCGATCGGGGCTCTTTTCCGGAAAAGCGTGTCTACATTGGCCACAGACGCTTTTCCGGAAAAAGGGCTTTTCCGGAAAAGCAGCCTGCCAACGTAGACACTCCTTTTCCGGAAAAACTGAAAACGGAATAGTATTCCGTTTTAAGCAGTTCCGGAAATTCATGCCAGTGTAGACACAGCCCGTGTGTCTCTGTTATTCTCACAAACTCACACTGTCCATCACTCTCATCTCCCGACTCAACACGTACATGGGGGGTTGTTGTTACTTCTTTTACTGCTTGCAAAGTGGGTTATTTTTAGTTTTTGACTGGTCTGGCATTTCATAATTTTCATTTCTTTCTTATACTTAAATTTAATTATTTGAGTAGTGAGTTCTAAAATGCCTAACCTGTCATGGATGGAGTAAGATCCCTATACGTAATTGCTGGTCCTGGAAGTGGTTGGCATGTCCCTGCAGCCCCTGAGAGAGGCAGAGCAGGGGGTCTCCACATGCTGTCCTTGCCTGCAGACACCATTCCTGTGGTTCCCATTGATGAATAATTCCCTACGGCTTCCATTGATCAATAACGGGAAACTGTGGCCAGTACAAGCTGTGGGCTCGGTGCCTGTGGATGAGGGCAGCACATGGCGCCATGGAGCTACTGCTGTATGTGCCAGCTGCTTTCAGGAGTGCTGCAGGGCCAGGGCAGGATAAGCCTGCGTTAACTCCCACTGCTCCACCATCCAGAAGGCATCTCAGTTAAACAGTGTCCAGCCAGAGCCTGCTTCCTGATACTGTCCTAGCCCTGAACCTTCTCCTACACCCAATCTCCTGCCCCAGATGTGAGTCCCCCCACACTCAAACTCCATCCCAGAGCTTGCACCATGATATCCTCCTGGACCTCAATCCCCCACCCTGGGCTAAGCCCAGAGCCCCTCCCACACTCCAAACCCCTTGTCTCAAGACCACAGCCTGTACCCCAACTCCCTACCGCAGCCTGGTTAAAGTGAGTGAGGATGGGGAAGGAAGGGAGATGGAGTGAGCAGGGTGAGGCCTTGGAGAAGGGGTGGAGCAGAGGCGAGGCCTCGAAGAAGAGGCGGGAAGGAAGTGGGGCAAAAGTATCTGGGTTTGAGGTAGATCTTACATTGCACTTAAATTGAAAAAGTGATCTTGTGGTTAAAAAGGTTGGGGACCACTGCCTTCGGGGTACTTGAGAGAAGTCTGGGGGGTATGTCAACACAAGTGAAATTTGGAGAAAACTGAATTTTTGTTTTAAGTTTCATAGCGCTTTATTATTTTTGTAGTTTTTACACCCAAAAATTTCATCGCCTGCCCGGCTATGATTAAGTTGTTTAAATAAATGTGTTACAATGGTGGGGAAAAAAGTTGTGTGTCTGAAAACTGCAGGTACTGGGGGTATTTATAATTTTAATTTTTTGTAAAGGGGTATTTTATATTAAAAAAAAAAAAAGGTTGAGAAACACTAACCTATACCAATGGAAGGGGGTTATCAATTGCTGAAGGAACACTACCACCAGAGTAATACTAGCCAGGTCAACTGAAGCATTCTTCTATTGACTGAGTTTACATCATTTTGTCATAGCTGCATTGCTCAGGGCAATAGATATTTTTGCACCCCTGAATGATGTAGCAATGTTGACCTAAATTTTGAATATAAGCTAGGCCTAGTCTCTAGTCTGATTTCCTATAGTCAGAAATTGGCATAAGCCCTTAGGGTATGTCTACACTACAACATTAATTTGAACTAACTTAGTACGAATTAGTTAATTTGAACTAAGCTAATTCAAACTAACGGATCCAGACTAAAAAACTAGTTCGAATTAGCGTTTTGCTAATTCAAACTAGCATGTCCACATTAAGTGGACCCTGAACCGGGCTTAAGGATGGCCTGAAGCAGTGCCGGCAGGGCATCAGAGGAGGACTTAGAGCGTGGAGATGCTGTCTCAGGCTAGCCGAGAGCTGTGCTTAAAGGGTCCCGACCCCCACCCCAGACAGACAGTTCAGGGGTGCCCCGCTTGCAAAGCAGTCCTGGCTTGGATTGCCCGGACTACCCACACTGGGCACATCACACCACTCAGCCATCAGCCCGGCTGCACTTGCCGCAGGCTGCCATCTGGGGAGAGGGGGCAATGGGGGGGCTGCAGGAGAGCTTCCACCCCCAGAAGCCCGCAGAGCCAGCCCAGTCCTCCCCATCGGGGGCTCATGCCCCATTCCTCCCTC